TAACTTAGGTTTAGGTAAGGTACAGACGAACGGAACCGAACGAACAAACCCTACGACCAAATTAATTACTAACTAACTTTAAGAAAGAAAGAAAGAAAGAAAGAAAGAAAGAAAGAAAGAAAGAAAGAAAGAAAGAAAGAAAGAAAGAAAGAAAGAAAGGAAGAGCAACAACCCTGCGTCATTACGGAAGAAAGCATCATCATCTAGAAATGCCACTCAAGGAGGCTGGAAGAAACTGTGATGAGGACACCCAGAGAGCAGGCCCTGAGCCCAGGGGCTGGGGTTTTTGGGTGCTGTGGGGGTCTGTGATGTAACTGCTGGCTGCTGCCAGCCTCCCCCTTGGTTTCGGCCACGACTTTATCACATGGAGAAGGAAGTGGTCTGAGTTGCAAAATAACTTTCTCTGATGCCATTAAATGGCAGGCTGGAGCACCTCAGAGAACAACCCCCTGTGCAGCTAGCTCAGCGAGGGGCGGTAAAGGGGAGCCATGGGGGAGGGGGACTTTCCCTCCCCTCCCTTCTCCAGCCCACACCCCTCTTCTCCCTTCCTAGTCACTCCCTTCCCGTCCCACCTGCCTCTCTCCAACCCCTTCCCAAGCTCTCCCTTCGCTTTGTTCCCTGCCTACCTCCGCCCCCTCCCTCCCGGCTACCTGCGCGGCGCTCGCAGGGGGCTGTCCCTCCAGTAGCAGGGGGTGGGCCCTCCCGAGGAGACCTGCCCCCCCCCCCCCGCCTCTCTCAGCCCGTGCCTGACGCGAGGGGGCAGAGGCTGGCGCCAGCCGGCCTTGCTGGGAGCCGGGTGTGTGTGCGCGCGGCGGGCGGAGGGGCCCGGGCCCGGGGCATGGAGAGCCTGCTGGAGAACCCGGTGCGCGCCGTGCTCTACCTGAAGGAGCTCACCGCCATCGTGCAGAACCAGCAGAGCCTCATCCACACCCAGCGCCAGCGCATCGACGAGCTGGAGCGGCGCCTGGACGAGCTCAGCACCGAGAACCGCAGCCTCCGCCAGCAGCACCCGGCTCCCGCCGCCGAGCCCCAGCCGCGCCCGCCGGCTCCCCCCGCGCCCGCCCCGCAGCCCGAGCCGGAGCCGCTTCAGCACCCCCAACAGCTCCCGGCGCCGCAGCCGCTCCAGAGCAGGCAGGCTCAGCCGGGCCCCAGCGGCGGCGGCAGCAGCAGCAGCAGCCGGGCTCCGGCTCACCAGCACCCCCCGCTCCAGCCCCATCAGCACCACCCGGAGAAAGACAGCAGGGAGAGGGGCTGCTGCACCACCCTCCTCCAGCACAAACCCGCCCCGGCCATCGGCAAAGGCGCCCTGAGCAGGAGACCAGAGTAAGTGTGTGTGTGGGGAGGACAAATGGCTCTTTCCAGGCCGAGCGCCAAGAGGTAACTGGGATCTAACCCCCCGGCTCCCTGCCACGGAGAATGCGGGGGTGGGTGGGGAATCCCTCCCTAGCTGTGCTCTCCAGCTGGAGCGTGCGGGGCGCAAAGAGCCGCGCGGCTGCCGCTTCCAAGGGGCATCAGCCGCCTTCCTCCCGCTTGGTTCATTGGGGGTGTGTGTGTGTGTGTGTCTGTCTGTCTGCTGCCCCTGGTAGAATCCTGCCCGCTCGGGGCACACACGCCAGCCCCGTGCTCGGGCTTGTCTCTGTCATAAATAAACAAGTCTCGGATCAAAGCTGATCTCAGTGTAGGCAAGGCAGGGAAGGAGGCTTTGCAAAGGACAGCGACGGCCGTGTGGCAGGATCTGTTTTCATCAGCGTTGTGCGGCTGGTCGCTGGAAAAAAATCATCCCTGTCTGACCGAGAGGGGATTTTCTCACCTGTGGGGGTGCCTTAGTATATTACATATCAGGACTATGTATAGACATAAACATAGATGTTATACAGTTATGATATTTAGGGTGCCCATCTCAGTTTTCTGGGGTTATAGCTCTCTTTTCAAAGAGGTGTTTGACACCTGTCCAGCTTTTTAAAGGGAGAAAGTATTTTTTGCTGGCCTTTGTTCTCTAACAGATAGCATGAATACTGATACTGAATGCTAATAATGAGATGTGTGTGTATGGATAGTATACAAGGACTAGCAGTCCAAAACAGAAATAGAATAATACTGGAGAGTTACATTTTCCTGCTTTATGCATCCAGTAAGTCCCATCAGCTCACCAGCTTGCAATTACAACTGAGCTAGATATCTGATCTGCCTTTACTTAGGTGGTTTGGAAACAGCAGGGTATTTTTTGGTCAAAAGTCAGCGTAAGTAAAGTTAGGAACAGACAAAAGAGCATGTAGATTGCTTAATTGACTATGGCATATAACCAGCTCACATTGATGGTAAAACCAGAACTATTTCTCATCTAGAGTAAAAGTGTATGCCTTTCTTCCTGATGTTGTTGAAGCAAATAAGATCCTCCTCAGCACAGTTCTCAGTCCAGATCATGGTTGGTTTATTTGTTTTTTTGCTCTTTCCAGAAAAGGAACCCATCCTTGCTGTGTTTGTTTTGAATACTGAAGGGCAGTTAGAAACATCAGTGATTTACACCTGCTGAGGGTCTGGCCCATGACTAAGCAAGAAGCAATGCAGAAATGATAATTAAAGTAATTTATACCTCACCTTATATGTACAATGTACTTTCCACACCAAAAGCCCCTAAAAGCTTATAATTTTCAGGCTCAATCCTGCAAACCCTACTTACTGAGATCAGTGGCAATAATCATGGCAGTAAGCGCTATGCTAGATAGTAAGGAGCGGGCCCTTATTCACTATGCATTGTAAGAAGCTTTAAAAACACATAGGAACTGATTCTGTTCTCTTGTATACTACTGTAAATTCAGAATAAATTCAGTGGCGTTACACCACTGTGAAACCCATGTAAGTGAGTGCAGAATCAAGCTCATTGTTTTTAAACAGTGAATCCCTGCAGTGAAGCCAATATTAGGTACATAACATTGGCAAGGTTTTCCTTTCATCTGAATATAGTTTCTCACATACGTCATTAGACAGATTGAAGAGTCAGTTGCAATGCACAAGTCTGAATAGCTCCTTTATAAGCCTTTCATTTTTGCAGTGGGGTTTGCTTGGGGGAAAAAAATCCCATGAATTTCTTACTATTTCATATCAAAATGCACAAGCAGAGGAGCATTAAGGACACTGCTGATCTCTGATACATGCACAGTGATTTGTGGAAAATCAGGACTGCTGCCAGGGATAACATAGCAATCCCTGAAGCTCTCTTCACTCAGGAGGATTAAAATAGCCTGCTTCTATTTCCTCCTATAGCTTAGGCAAACCAAAATCTTTGTATAAAAAGAAATTTATGAGATTGAAAAAGGTTTAAACTCCTCACTTTAGCAGGTTCATTGTCTTTTATTGATTAGGTACACTGGGTTTCATCCTCTCTCATCTGCAAATGCTAGAGGGAAATCAAAGAGACAACAAAATCTAATCTAAAGGCATCTTGAATGTGGAGGATCTTTCACCTCCTTTTGACAGTGTGCCTAGTATTCACTAAGATCCAAACGGCCAACTTCAGGGTTGCATTTGGGCTTTTATGCAACAATAGTGGAAATTTGATACAGAAGACATGGTGTGTGGAGAGGACCTTAGATAGTGAAGATTTTTCACCTCCTTCCTTCCCCCATGCCCCCAGTCATGATATCGCCAAATTATAAATGCTAAAATCCAATGTTCTCTTACATTTCATTTCCTCTCCCTCCCCCCTGTCTTTCTGACCAGGACTGTAAGAACTGAATAATAATCAGGAGAGAAAATGGCCACTCTAAATGGAACAGAAATGAGATCTTGTAGGAATATGATGGATGGAAGCAGGGCTTAAAGTGATTTAAAAGAAGTACCAGGTCTATTATTGCCTAGCAATGGAACTTCATCAGTTTGTCACGAAACTGAAGGGCCCAGACAGCTTGTTTAAATACATTTGTAATGCTCCCTCCCACCTCAGGCACAACCCAGAGGTCTCTCTTATTTTGGGCCAGGGTTGAGATCCCGCATGAGCCAGCTCACCATAAACCTTGGATAGAAGTGAACAGCTAAGCTTTTAGACAAGTGACTATCCATCTTGACCTCAAGAGGCCTGCAGAAAAACACAGGCCCTTTGTTTTTAATAAAGTTTGGGATCATTCATTTTATTATTTTTCTTCTCAGCAGTAAAAAAAAAATCTACATTTTAAATAAAAAATCTGTGCGTTCCAAACTTTTCTCTGGACAGGGGGGAATTCATCAGGTATGCAGAGGATAGTTAATTGCAGCTGCATGGCAGTGAGGACAGCAATGCAGAGCTCACCTATGAAACGAGAGGTAGGAGAAAAGATTTACATAGATATTTCTCAGCAGGAATTAGTCTGATTATTATTCTGTGGCATATATCTCTTTCTACCTAGGAATCTATTGCATAAGTGCCTCAATTACTGCTTTAAAAACAAAAAATAAGGTCAGTCATTCTGGAATGTGTTGCCGCAGAAATACAGGTTCCCAAATTAGCATGCCTCAGATCACCCTTATTAGGTAACCTCTTGTCGTAAGAGGCCATTCTAAAGTATCCCCAAATGTACTGGGTATAATTCTCCCTCTTTATCTTTATCAGAAGAACTCCCTTGAAATGCTTTATTATATGTACCAGAGAATTCCAGCAGAGATTAATTTGGCCTCTTGAGTCTAAATGGGTCAAATCCTGCAGTCCTTACACAAATGAAATTCCCTCAGTGAGAGCTGTGCCTGAGTAAGGACTGCAGAATTTGCTCTTACGTGCATAGGTGGCAAAGTCCTTTGTTATATAAAGAATAATAATAAATTGTGATACAAATACTTTGAACATCTATAGAATCTTCCATCCAAAGATCTCACTGAAGTTTACATACCTTAATTTGAGGCAGAGATTATTATCCCTGTTTTACATATAGTGAAGCAAAGACACAGAAACATTAAGTGACTTATCCAGCATCACACTCAATGCCTGTGACACAGCCCAGAACAGAACCTGATTCAGTTGAATCTCAGCTCTGTATTTGGACCACAAGACCATCTCTCCTGCAAGAAGGATCTTGTGGTATAAATTTTACAAAACACCATTTTCCAAGGGTTTATAAACTATTTGGTTTTGCACTGGGCTGAAACCAGCTTTATTTTATTTTTTGTTGCTATGTAGCAGATGGGTAGTTTTATCTGACTCTGTAACAGAGAAGGCATGGTTTGAGAGAGCTAGATGTTACATCCACTTAGTCTTTGCTATGGACTGAGGCCATTTGCTACATTTTTTGTTTAATTTAAAAAGCCTAATTATGTAACTTTAAAATGAAGCTACTGCATATGCAGAGGTGCTGCTTTCCATAATTTTTCTTTTAAACTATGCATTAATGTTCTATTCTATGGATTATCTCCAGGGTAAAGGCATTAGACAAAATCCCATTGATTTCAATTAATTACTGTAAATATTGTGGGTTTACTATTACTATTAACATATTTTACCATATTTGCGCATTGCACCAGTAAAAATAATAAAAATACTGCAGTAATCCTGCATTCCTTGCACACCACAAATCCCCACACATTTTATTTTGGGTACAGAAGAAATGCACTAACTGTCTCAGAGATTGACCACATTGGGGTTTGAGCCACTACTTTAGCTGCACTGGTGTTGCCCCAACGCAAACCCTATTGTAGATGTGTAAGAAGTGACTTGCAGCAATGTGGCTTACCCTAGTTTCAGATGGTAGAGATTTGCATCAGCGCAGCTACATTGATGGCTAAAGCCCCAATGTAGACAAGCTCACAGACATTTTAAGAACAACATTTAATTTGACTAAATAGCTCAAGAGGGAGGAAAATGAAAATAAACTATTTGAGGCTATCTATATCCCATTTTAAGGTATATCCATAATGGTTCCAAAACTCCACAGTATGAAATGAATTGAATGATTATGTAAAATCTGCATCAGTGCCTGGTAATGACACCTATTGTAAAATTCCAGACAAAGGGATAGGAGTTAATGGCTGTTAACAATTCCATGAGAAATAGCAGCTAGAGGGACAAAGAGTCCATGTCCAGAAACAATACCATATGAAATCCTAGCTGCAAGAATAGAGTTTGAATGCTTAGCAATGATGCCATGAGCAATCCGAGTCACAGAGACAGCACCTGCATTTGTGGAATTGATACCATACAAAACCCATGCCAGAGCAACAGAGTGCCATTCCCTGGAAAGAAATCCCAGAGGCAGGGCTGGGCTTGCATTAGTGCTTTAGTAATGCTAGCACATGAAAGTATCTGTGCCTAGTAATGAAATCATGGGAAGTGCCAACCAGGGACCCAGGGGATATGTCTA